CAAAAGTTAACAATGTCAACAATCATCATCCAAAATTTCCAATTTCCAATTATCATAGATATAATTAATTGCAATTCTAAAATTATAATTAGCCACAATTATATAAATATAAATCAATATAAATTCACATAAATTTTTAATAAAATAGAAAAATAAATAAATAAAAGTTGAACAAACAAGTTAAATTCTATTTAAATAATGAAATTAGAACAAACAAATTCCAAAAAGAAAAAAAATTAAGTGTACAGCCACATTCCTAAAACTGGGAAGATCTGATAATCCTTATCCTAAGGTCTTTATCTAACTTTTAATTAACCCTAGCCAGGGGAACTCCTAGTTTCTTGTGATGTCCTTTACGAGTGGAGACTCTTATAAATGCACCAGCTGTCTTTTTTTGCACCCCAATCTATGTACTCCTTGATATAGTTGTTGACCAAACGTCTATAATTTTTATTTTCATTTTTTAAAGTTATGAACTTTCAGCTTGGTCCAAACCATATCAAGGAGACCAACGAGATTAGGGTAACCAAGAGTCTATCTTAAAACTTGATATTTCGACTCATCTTCCTTTAATCCCCCTATCCAGACAATTTCCTGAATCTTTTCATTCACATGAATGAAATGATCTACGAGTTGCACCAACTCATCCTCTCTGTCTCTTAAAATCAATGTGCAAGTTTGTAGAGTTCTAATCATGTTCATAACCCTTTCCCTTTGAGCGGGTGTTGTAACAACCATTGCACATCTATAACGTAACATTTTTCTGTAACAAATACAAAAAAAAAAACTATTTATTTATCAAATAAAGGTTGACTATATTTGATAAATAATACACGTGTTTATGGTTCAATAACAAAATTAGACTCATAACAATATACCAAGTATGCATTTTTATTCTTTACAGCAAAAGAAAAAAATTTAGAATACTTCACGCGCCCCCACGCGCAGGCAGGAGCAGCCACGCGCCGCCTAGAAGCGGCCATGCGCCGACATAAGCCCCACGCGCCGACAGGAGCTTCCACGCGCGTGCCACGTGCTCACACACAATACGGGTCGGGTCAACCTGTTTCACACTAAACCGGGTCAATCCTGACCCGAGTTGACCCATTGACCTTGTTGACTTTGCGGGTCGGGTGTTGATTGACCCATTTGACTTTACGGGTCGGGGTTGACTCATTACCGGGTTTGACTAACCCCGTTCGGTCATATGGGTTGGGTCCACCAGTCAACTTGACCCATTTTTTATTTGGGTTATGGGTTGGGCCGGATAGGAATATAATGGGTTTGTGAATATGGTTAACACCAAAACAAAACCAGCCCAATGGTTATCGTATTGGGCTTCAACCATGGAGACTTGGGTTCAAGTTGCACCAACTACGTTGATTTTATTTCCTTTTTAAAAGGAAGTAAATCAGGAAAAAACGACATGTCATTCATAAGGATGGATCAAAAACGACGTGTCGGTTTGTGTCGTCTTCAACCTCTGTCCGGGTCTACAACTGGGTATCCGACCCGGAAATCAACCCATTCGAAACCTGAAACTTCAAAGAGGCATATCTAAGTCATTTTAACTCCATTTTTTATGATTCAAAAACCATTTTCTTCATAATTTCATAAGGAATTTAATGGTCTAATAATCATTACCAAAAAGATAACTTTTTATGTAAAAAATTTGAAAAAATTAGAACTGCATTTGATAAACCAATAACATGCTTCAACATTACAGTATGAATTTCAAACAATATGAACCACGACTCTGATACCAATGTTGGAAATAAAATAGAATAACATATATCCTAACATAATCCCAAGATCATAGTCGCCATTGCAATCACATTTGTATATAAATGAACTACAATGAATTAACACAGCATAAATACCTCATTTCCTTATCTCTGAAGCAACAAAGGTAATCTGGAAGAAAAACCACGAAATGTATTTCTGTTTTCCAAATTCTAGAGAGAGAGAGCGTATTTTCTTTTCGTTTTTGTGTGTGTTGTAGTGAGTAACACTTTCTAAAAGAAAAAACCTTCCTTTTATATGGGAATGGTTCGTGAGAAACTGCCTTTGGCAGTTTCCACTTCTCACACCCCTTCATCATGGGTGTATTTATCCAATAATTAGTAAAGCTGATTACATCTGTGTCACCAGGACTACTCAATCTTTGCTCTCCGCTGCAGCTCATGTGACCGAGAAACATTTACGGTTGGAAACTCTTGGGGCTGTATCTTTATATGTATATTGTAGTTAGAACAATTGGTGCTTAAGTGTGTGTTTTTATTTCTGCTTGTAGCTTGATTCAACTGTGGAGTTGCCTTCGTTTTGTATTGTATTTTTGTTTAAATCCTTAACTATAAGCATATTTCCTCTTTAGCAGAGAACACCAATTCAAAAATTGTTTTCAATGAAGTATTGGCTACTGCTGGAAGGGATATAATCACAAAGTGACATATCTAGACTACGTGGTGGCTGGCCCATGCAAGATGCCTTCTATGTGAGTCCCATTAGATATTAAATTGGAAGACCATTTTTGTAATCTTGGATAGTTTCTTATCAAAAACTACCTGAAAATAACGACTATGCAATAAAGTTTCCATGGAGGCAAGTGAAGAAGGTGCGATAAATATGAAAAAAACACAGTGAATGAAGACGAAGAAGAAAGGTATTTAGAATGTTTTTTTTAATTTTTTTTTTTAAAGTATGGACGGGCGTCCATTAGGAATGGACGCCTGTCCAAACTTAAGGGACGGCCGTCCATTCCTAATGGACGTCCGTCCAAATTTAAATTTTTTTTCTTTTTTTATTTTCATATTTTGGTTAAGCACGGGCATCCCTTATTTACGGACGCCCGTCCAAAATGAAGAGATGGCCGTCCATAACGGATGAACGGCCATCCCTAATTATTTATTTCATTTTACTTATGGACGGACGTCCTTTAATTACGTGAGTAAACGGCCGTCCAAATTTGATGGACGACCGTTCACTAGAAAACAATTGTTAAAAAAAATCAGCGTGTTTCACGTAGGCCGGTACACAATTTCGGTGCAGGTTTTTCCGTGTCCGTAGCATTATTGGTGTTTTTGGTAATTATCAACTAACTAAGGGTTTTTAGGTAATTATGTGACTAAAGCATATGTATGTATATTTTTTTCTCTTCTTCTTCTTCTGTCTCCCCTTCTACTTTCTTCGTCTTTCTCTCTCTTTTTCCCCTCTTTCTTTTGTTTTTTTTTTTCTTTTCTTTCTTCACTTCCCTCTCTCTTTACCAATTAAAGAAAACACTGCAGCCATGACCGGATTTGAGCAAGGATGAGCATGGGTCGCCGCCGTGGAAGGTCGCCGTCGAACGGCAGCCCGTCACGTCTTGACCCAAGCTCAAGCCTTCAAGCCGTAACTATGCCTCTCTTCTAACTTCTAAGCCTCCACACTCGGGCATTGTGAATTTTATTTGAAAAAATTAAGAGATTTTGAAAAAGATTTGTTCACTTTTTTAGATTTATTTGTTGATTTTATTGCATGTGAAATTTAAATCAGTGTTGGGTGTTTTTTTGCAGTTAGTGTTGAGTGTTTTGTTGGCTGGTAGTGTTGGGTGTTTGGGGTTGTAGTGGTGAGTGTTTGTGGTGGTTGTCGTTGTGGTGATTTATAACATAATATCATATTAAATTATATGAGTCCATTTTGTACTCTGTTTTTATTTCAGTATATTCCAGTGGAGCATTAGTTTCCAGGAAGCTGAGTTCATGAACAAGAGGTTAGTAAAGTGCAGAGTTCAATTTGTTCAGGAGAGAAAGCCATATTAAAACATCCATATAAGGCTAGGCATTGAAGAGATAGAGCTTTGAGCTTCCTACAATTATTGATAAGCACTTCTGAAACAGTATTAGGAAGGTCGTCTTCCGGTAAACAAACAAGACTTGGGCAACTTTTTATACCAAAATGACGAAGAGTGTGTAGGCCTTCGGGAAGTGATGTAATATTTTTACAACGTAAAATCCGAAATTTCTCAAGACAAACGTTGAGATAATGTAACACAGTTTGGTATTCTATTAGTCAACAACTTTGTTAAGGAAGGTGAAATGAATCACTTGCAATATATTGAAATTTTTGTTCTTAATGGTGAAGTGAGTCAAGTCATTGAGTTCCAAACCAGAAGCTTTAGAAATCTCAAACCATGTGGTTCCCGTGAACCAGTCTGAGTGAAGCTAACTTGTAGTCCATGTGGTTCAGAGACTCCCAACGGTCTATGGTGAGAAGGGTGTAGATGCTGTTCTCCATTTAAGAAGCTCGAAGCTCATGACGATGGCAGTTGTTTAATGGTTTCGTTTGAGGTTTGTTCTGAGAAAATGGTTTAAATTTGGGGGGGATTTGATAGATTCTTTTGGTGGTTGTGGAAGCCAAAGAGGACATTAGTGAAATGATTGCTCGTTACTTGGGCGTTACAGTCAGGCTTTTTCAAAAATGAACAACCGGAGAAGAAGGAGAAAACGAAGCAATTGCCGGAATGAATGAGAATGACTGACGTTTAAAAACGGTGATTTAGTTAACGGTGTAACGGCAATAAATGGAAATCCAATAACAGTGACTTGGAATACTGAAATTTTTTCTCGGTTATTTGCAATAATAAACAAAGGTATNTTACTTGGGTGTTACAGTCAGGCTTTTTAAAAAAATGAACAACTGGAGAAGAAGGAAAAAAAGACTGGCATTTAAAAACGGTGATTTAGTTAACGGCAAAAATGGAAATCCAATAATAGTGACTTGGAATACTGAAATTTTTTCTCGGTTGTTTGCAATAAGAAACAAAGGTATAGCAATAAGTACTCTTTTTTTTCGTTTTTTTCTCCCTTTAGAAGCAACCTCGACCATACGATGAAATTTTATTGATTAAAGAAAAGACTACACCCCGAAAAGGGACATAATGAGCCTAACTCCCTCAGGAAAAATTCTATTACAAGAAGTTAAAAAGAAAATGCAGCTGCAGGCAGTTATACAAGAATTGAAAGAAAATGTAAAATACATCAAAAATCATGTAAATCTATAATTTGTACAACCAAAATGTTCTCAAGTCTGATTCTGAAACTACTTCTAAGCATAATCTTTGTTGCGTCTCTATTCACATCTCTGGAAGAAGTGCAGAAAGTAAAAGCTTGTGGAGATAGTAGCAGAAACTTTCAACAACAATTGAAGTTGTGAATAACTCCAGATATTCATCCTTGAAGCATATTCTTCGTAGTATCATTGTGCATCAAGAAGAAGAGTGTGATATCCCACGTCGCTTGGGACAGGCTCCTAAGCTCTCAGAACGTGTTGTATTCAAAACGGATAATATCTTGACAGTGGGGCAGGCTTTTACAAAAAGTACTTGCGGATTTTGAGTTCCTCTAAACAGTTCTGCTGCTGCTCCTCTTCCTCTCCTCCATGCCGCTAATGAAACACAAGGGGCTGATTCGCATCATGGAAGACAATGAAGCGCTTTTCTTGGTGGAGCTTCAGTGACATTAGACCAACTGCGATTGATGCTACAAAGACCAAGCTCGGACAATGAATTTACGCAATATTTTCGGAAATGCATCAAGACTTCTAAAGAAAAAAAAATTACCTCGGCTATCACAGCTTCCTTATTCTCCACTCCACTCATCGGTGACATGAATTGATCATCTGAAAAGAGCTTACTACAACAAGTTTAGATACTTATGAGACAGAGGAAATAAATGTCTTTCAATTATCTTAAAGTGCCTTATGATAGAGCTTACTAGTGCCATTGCAATGTTGACATATTGTATCCGAGAGTTGGATCCTACAAATGTGACATAATTAAAACTCCATATGATAAACTATGATTGTGACTAATGGTACCGTTTATGTGCAAGAATTTGACAGACCTAAAAAGAGCATAAGGATGGAATGTTGTAAATAAAGGATTGAATCTAATCGAAGATCGTCCTTCATCGTAGGGATGGTAGACGAACTTGTGATCAATGTTAATCCAAGGAATATTGTGGCTATATATCTTTGACAACTCTCGTCTTTCGTTCCCTTCACCTTGCGTTTTCTGCAAAGGACAATCATTCATATTAAACTGCACAAGTAGTAAAGGATGTGAGATTATGACCATCATAACACTAGAATAACTTGGTCTCATGACAAGAAGAAATCATAACCTTTTGAAGGCTTCAATAGATTCTTCACCAACATTCTCATAACTCTCCAAAATTGCAACATTTGAACAGCAGCACCTCTTGGAAAATTAACAAAGGAATAGCAGAAACCTTCAACAAAAAAATTTTCAAGTCATAAAAACAGTTGGTTTCTTGAATCCAACTAAACCATCTAACTACAATGCAGTAATAGTTCTGATTACTTTTCTTACTAAGAACTCTGTATATTACACCAAAAATTCATTCTTCAAGCAGAGATTTTATTAAGCAAACCATAGTGCATCATTGCCTTCCACATCCGAATTCAGTTCTATGATTTATTAGAAGAAAAGCCACCTGTCCACCAAACACAAACCAATTGAATTTTTTAAAGTAGAACTTTGATATGTGCTCAATGTCTAGAGTTTCGCCAGCATTAGAAATGAAAATGTTTACCAAATTTGTAATTAAAATTGAATGTTAGAGAAACAAAAATTATAGCTTGTGAAAGAGAAATTATTTGGACTATTAAACAGGGTAGCCCTGTTTTCAAAGCCCTTGAAGGGAGTTTTACAAAATAATAGCTCATACAGAAAGATCCCAAAATTCCACCAATCAACAGCACCGCATTGCCTTCACCTTTGATGGTTTCAGCCAGGTCCTCGTGAGTTCCCAAAAGCGACATGGAGTGATTGTTGGTTGGCTCAGCAATCAGTTCTGGCAGTGGGGTAACTGTTCCCCGTTTCATTCTTTGGTTTCTGAACTTTCTTGGATTTTCAAAAGGATCGAGGAGAAAAACAAGTTGTAGTGGGAAGACACAATGGTTTGATACACGAGGGCTCGATGCAGGCATGTCGAATGCAATAAACCGGATTCTTTTTCAGTGTTTCAGACCCCAGTGTTGATGACTTCACTTCTGTTAGGCTATCTCAACGCAAGGGATGTGAACTATCTTGGACCATTCTTGTCCTTCAATCCTTTTGCACTGTTTTTCTATTAAAGGACAACTATAAATATCTAGCGACAAAAGTGAGGATGGAAGATCTGGCAAGGATGTGAGATTTGGGCATTTAGCGAAAGTCAAAAATTCAAGAGATTTAAGAACTTGGAAAGTTTTGGAAGACAGGTATTTCAATTTCGGGAAGCTAACGATGATCAGATGTATTAGAGAGATGGGAAACTTTATTTCTATGATCTCCTCCTCTGGAAAAGATAATCCCGAAATTGAGAGTCCTTTAAGAGAGGTAAGTTTGTGCCAACCACACTCAGTCAGTGGCTTGTAGATACTGAGAGGAAGTGTAAGTGATTTTAGGTTGGAGGGGAAATCTTCTGCTGTAATGGATTCGATATTAGGACATTTCAATAAGGATAGCTTTTGAAGAGATTTGAGGGTGTGCATGCGGCTAGGTAGGGCTTGTAGTTTCTCACACCCATAGATCTCTACTTCTAAATCAGTGTCAGGAAACCCATCTTTTGGAAACGAAACAAGACTTGGGCACCTACTGATAAGCATACGACGTAGTTTGCAAAGAGTGTGTAAGCCCTCCGGAATGGATTTAAGGTTTTCACATCCCTCAATAGAAAGATTCTCGATGGGCATGTTACAGTCAAAACTCCATGCTGCCAGTGACTCTAGCTTTGGGCAGTTGAGAATATCAAGGGACACAAGTCCCTTAGATAACTGTCCCAAGGTTCCGAGACTTGAACATTGTGAAATAGAAAGTCTCGCGAGTGTTGAAGGTAACTGGTCTGTCGACGATAAATGCGTCAGAGAATGGCATTCATATATGAATAATTCGTAAAGAAGAGATGTGCTAGTGTTGTCCACGTCGTCCCTGTGTACCAATGAATAAGAAGAAGATGGAGAAGAAGTACAAATATCTTCTCTATCATCCAAAACGCATATCAAGTTTTCACATCTAATAATAGAAAGCGTATCCAGAGATGAAGGTAAACGGCCTCTCACAATGAATTTTAGAGAAAGACAGCGATTAACCTCTAAGTACTTGAGACGTGCATTGCTGTGCTTCAACCCCTCGTGCAAGGATGTTATGGCGTCACATTTGGTGATTGTAACTCTGCTCAAGATTGAAAGTAACCCATTTGGAAACGAAACAAGATTCCAGAGCTCTTTTAAATGCAGCTCTTGAAGGGAGGTAAACCAACTCAACTCTTGTGGTGCATTCTCTGGACAAATCTTATTTGGCCATAAATGTATGAGCTCTTCACAGCCAACAATTGACAGATGTTCTAGTTTCTGAAATCCCTCCCTTGACCAACTTCTAAACACTGGAAAGTTTGTTTCTCCACCTGTACTCATGGAGTTTAGCGCCTCTGAATCAACAGGGCTACAACAAACCATGCCTTTGCATCTATTTACTTCTAATGATCTGAGTATTGGAAGGCTTGAAAATGAAACCACTAACTGCTCACACCCATTTATCACAAGATTATCCAACAACGGGAGATGATTAGGTAATCTTCCAGAGAGTTTAGGACATTGAGAAATTGAAAGCTTTTGGAGACAAGGGAATCTTTTGACATGGTCATTTTCTACAGGGTCCCAATGCTCCCACTCTTGCAAATCCTCAAAACAAAGTGTCCGCAACGATTGAAAAGACTTTGAGCAACCCTCTCCATAAACCTCACCACCTATCTTTTTTATTTTTCCCATCAATCTGATTGTCAGGTTCTGAAGTGAGCCCATCAGTGCTAGCGAAGGCAAGGTTGTGCAGTTTTCACATCCATCCAATTCCAAATCCACCATGTTGGAGAATGATGGATCTCCTATCCAAGACGAAAGTTTTTGGCCGCCATAATTTCTTATTGTGAGCTCTTTAAGATTTTCATGAGGTTGTAAAATGTCAAGAACAATTTTCACTGCTTCATCTTGCGAGGGATTAGATGAACTCCATTCTAGTGCCAACACTTCTAAGTCCTTCTTCTCGCACAATATCATCTCTGTTGTGTCTTGACAATCCACTGCATTCTCTAAACTTGAAATGCAGAGCTCTCCGCAAAGAAACTTTAAGCTTTTCAAATCCTTCAAGCTAGATCCAACACCTTTACCAACAATAAAATTTGACAATGTCTTCAAACATTTTAAGTTTTTCACTCCCTGTGGCATCTCCCTTATTAATATTGACCCTCTAATATCAAAGTGGCATAGATTGATCAAATTTCTCATGTGTGAAGGCAACCTCTCGAGACAAGGACAATTTCTCAACATCAAACTTTGTAAATTGAACAGTAAACATGTTGACTCAGGTAAACATTTTATCTGAGTTTCAGAAAGGTTAATATACCTTAGATGTCTTAGATCTCCAATTGAGCTGCGTAGTTCCATCACCTGGTAGTTTGTTAAAGATAGTGCTCTCAGTTTTTTGAGCTTTGGCAATAAATCCAAAAAAACTGTCATAGTAACATAAGTTTTTCCTTTGTACCCCAGTGGCAAGACAATTCTCAGCAACGTCCTCAAGGACTCAACTTTATGGAGAGCTTCAAAATTCTTTTTTACTTCATAACGTCTAAATGGATAAGAAGAATATCGAATTCTATCAAATCTTTTTATTGACATGAGACTGCATTCATCCTCCAATCTAAAACTTGTTTCACTAGATATCCATTAAGCCAAATCATTCACAAGGTCATGCATTATATATTTTGAACCATTGATACTTGACCGTTGAAATATTGACCTTGATAGCAAATCACGAAAATACTCACGACCTAAGTCTTCCAGATGCTTGTTTTTAGATTGTTGGATAAGACCTTCTGCCATCCATAATAGAATAAGTTCCTCATCTATAAATTCATAATCCTTAGGGAAAATAGCACAGTAAGCAAAACACCTTTTTAAATGTGAAGGAAGATGATGGTAGCTTAGTCTCAAAACAGAGAGAATGTCATTTTCTTCAGGTAAATCCCATAATTTACTGGTCAATATATCTTCCCACTCATCATATCTCTGCTTAGATCGCAGAAGACCCCCAAGAGTCCTGGCTACTAAGGGTAACCCTCTGCACTTCTCAACAACTTTATCACGAATTGAATTCAAATTCTGGCCTGAAACAACAACTGCGCTCCCAGATACATGCTTCTCGAATATGCCCCAACAATCATCATTTGAAAGAAGTTTCAACTTATAATATTCACTCTGTCCCATTGTTAAAGCTACATCGACGCTGCGTGTCGTCACAATTATCCTACTTCCAGGTTCCCCAGCCATGAAGGGAGACTTAAGAGTTTCCCACAAGCCATAATCTCTGCTCCAAACATCATCTAATACAAGGAAGAATTTTTTTCCAGTTACTTTGTTTTTCAACTGAACCTGCACTTCATTTAAGTTTTGTAGACTACAAGATGATGAAGTCATTGACTCAAGAATCGCCTTGGAGATACGTAGAACATCAAAATCATCCGAGACACACGTCCATGCTCTTGGATTGAAAACTTCGATAAGCTTGTCATCATTGTAGACCTCTCGAGCAAGTGTTGTTTTACCAATTCCTCCCATACCGACAATGGGTATAACACAAAAGTTGGTTTCACTTGATCCCCCACTTAACACCATTTGTAGTATCTTGGCTTTGTCTTCCTTCCTCCCAAAAATAGCAGGCTCGATTTGCACAGATGTACTGGATGGTCTATTCCATGCAGTAGTTGATGTCCCCCCAGAAATCTTTTCCAGTCCAAGCTCAGTTCTTTGACTGTAGAGTTCTTCCAATCTGCTAGTAATATCACCTATCTTGGACCTCATGTTGATAGTGAACTTCACAGCACTTGTAGTCAAACCAGTGAAACAAGCAGAGATAAAGCTACGTTCCTTGCTACTGCTAGCATGGTGTTCAGACATCACCTTTCGCCTTAAAGCTTCAGTTGCAAACTCATCCAGAATGTCCTCCACATCATAAGCCAAGTCCTGGAGCTCGTCCAGCCACATTTTCACAGCCCTATCTGTCAGTTGCTTCTCCTCGGCATCCATGAGCAGAGCATCAATAAACTTCAACTTCTTCTCCCACTTCTTCAGCTTTGAGCGTACACCCTCTTGACTTGCAAACTGCAGCAACTCAGGGGATGTCAATCTGTTAAACAACATTGCAAGGAACACAGCGAGAAAGAGCTCTCCCACAGCCATGTTGATGCCTTCTGTCTGTCGAAAGAAAGGAATTAAATCAAAAGGATTATCGGTAGCACAAAGCGAACAATGAGAGCAACAACAAGAAAGATTAGTTTTGTCAAACAATAAAGATTTATTCACAACCTAATCTTACAAACTTTCTCTCACAATCCTGACATAACAACTCACAATTGGGTAGACGGGACCGATTTATGAATTGACCAATTGTGAGCTATCTTGTCAGAATTGTGAGAAAACGTTAGTGAAATTGGATTGAAAGTGTAGTATTGCTCTTTGTCGAATGCTTGAACAGTTTCAAAACAATATCACTAACCTATTATTCACTTTAAGCATGCGTTAATTAAAATACTATGTAATATAAATAGAAACAAGAGCCTAACAGAAGGACTTGGTTTCGATTTGGCATCCTAAGCACCTTTACACGGCATACTATCATATAATATACATATATGACATGGTTGACAGTGTGATTTTATATTAATTATGTCAAATTGTGTAGAAAGATATGAGAGCTTACCAAAGAAATCAATAAAATGAATTATGCTTTTCGAGATACTAATTACCCTCATATGTCATTAGCTACTTCCAAGATGGTGCATTAGATCTTTCAACTTAGTTTATGATATTTTACTTAATTTTCATCAACAATTTAAAACGTTTGGTTGGGTAATATATATTTGGAAAAAATTTCTCACAACTCAAACGCAAAATTAAAGCAACCAACTCAAAATAAAGTAAACCAAACACGCGAATTTTGAAGGGGAATTTTTAGAATAGAAAAATGGTCAATTTTATTTGGCAGGATTGAGAAAGATAATGTAGAGTTGACCATAAACAAATGGGTTTTGCTACTAATATTGTTTTAAAAGACCATTGATAAAGTTAAATAATTATTAAGAAAATTACTTGATTCTTATTCTACAGTGTATCTTTTACAAATGATTGCAATATAGTAATTAAAACATTGTTCAAAATTTCAAATCCAAAAACAAACGTATTTAGGTCAACATAATGTGAAAAACACTAGTGATGGGACTCATGAAAAATAAGCTTCAGGATTTTGGCCTAATTACAGATGTAAGACGTATTTTTCAGAAACCAAACCATGGATCCATGGAGTTCTATTTCACACCATTGATAATTATTTACAAGATGCATGCATGGATAATAGCTATATTTGAGTGGACCGTTGATTCTTATTCTACAGTGTAAATTTTATGATAGCAACATAGTAATTAAAACACTGTTTGGGAATTCAAATCCAAAAACAAATATATTTAAGTCAACAGAATGTGAAAAACATTAGTGATCGGACTCATGAAATCAGATAAACAAGATGCTTTAAAATATTGTCTAAGAGTATGAAGAATTTTCTTTACCTGTAGTTTGTGATTTTCGGATAGTCAGTTTCCGCAAACAAGAAAACTTTTCTCAGCTTCTCTGTCGACAGATGATAAATGAAAAGATGGAAAGGTTTTTGGGATTGGTAATGGTTTGGTCAACTTGTGAGGGAAATGAGAAAATAGGATTTTCTGCAATGCACTCAACGAAAATTCCATTTACTATAAATCATAAACAAAATATTAAAATACAGGGTGCCTTGTTTTAAGTGAATGTTCATTGCACCACAATACTCATAAACAAATTATTATTAGTCCTCTTCCTGTTCATAAAAAAATGCCTCAAGATGATGTGGAGTCCACCAGGCTTCAATTATGGTTCATAATATATCATTGATGTTTTGGCATTTTGTAAATTAGTTTGGCCTATTATTTAATTTTTACTCTGATGTTCTCATCTTCAGGTTATAAATAATATTATTGAAGGTTCATGTCAATGTCAGTTAAATTTTTTGTATACCCAATTTTTAAAGTTAAAAGGAGTAGTGGTTGAACAACTGTCAATACAACAATAAAATTAAAGTAGTGGTGGTTTAACAATTACCAATGATAATTAATAAACCAAAGAGACATAGAGTAACAAACAGGAATGTTACATTATTAAATGCCCCTTTTTATTTTTAAAAGATTCTCCTTTCTCAGGGCAATTTCAATAATTATAGGGAAGCTTTTAATAGTTTTCGAAAATCTTGGTTGTGATAAGATTAAACAATCTCATAGGGGTGTCTAAAATAAACCCCCTTTTTTTTATTGAATTATATGATAACTAATCCGTAATTAGGAAATAATAATACTTAAGTTACCTTTGTTGATCATTTTAAGTAGTGGCTGTTATTGGCCTTTGAACAAAATCCAATTAACCAATTAAGGCTGAACCAAATATAATAGGATCTTGAGATCCTAAAGGTTCGGATTTGATTAAAATTTATAAGTTAAAAATAATGAGTAAAAGACTATGAGTAATAATTTTAAAGTCAATAAAAAATTTTGTTTAAACGAATATTTAGCCACAAAATCACATAACCTAATAATCTTTAATGAAAAATAACAAAAACAAAAATATCTACCATATCTAGTATCATTTAACATGGTTTCATTATATTGTTAAACCATACTGTTAAATGTTAAATTATCAAATCTTGTATAGTATAGCATAATCTAACATTATATATTAGAAACATATTTTTTGTTGTTTTATTAAGAGTATAGTTGATAAATCACTGGATTATAAAGTTAGGTTTGTATTTTAAATAAAATCTGTACATTTTCGAAAATGGAAATTATTAAGTTGGCTATATATATTCAACTCCCATTAGATTTACTATTTTTCCTCGAAACCTTAGATCTAAATAGAAAAACGAAATTCAATGTACTATATTTGGTAACCCTCCAGCTTATAAATAAGAAGTCCAATTTTTTTCTTGGTCATTTGGTCAAACTTATCTTGTCAATAACTCTTCTTCTGTCATACTTGTTTTTGTGCATTGCCGATTCGACTCTTGAAATAACAATTAACATAACAAATTCTTTTCCTTCAAATAAGGTCCTTAAACTTCATTTCGTTCAAGGGAACATGATCTTGGTGAAAAAACACTCAAGAATAATAAGTTTTACGATTTTAAGTTTCATTACTTGTCTGTCAGAAGAATTATATTCTCCTGCGATTTTCTATAGGATGGCATTGTTCATGGCTACAGTATGTACGATTCTTGTAGAGATACTTGCAAACAATGCGATTTGATCATAAGACATAGTGAGGTTTACAAGGGCATTGTTCCATGCAAGCAAACGGATACAACCGCGGAGCCTCACTGTTTTAGTTGGGAAATTTAATGAAATCTCTTTTCAGCTCGAAATTTTTGAATTTATATAGTTATTATTTTTTAATTTAATTAATATAATCATGTATTGATTCGTTATCAAAGTTGAGTTAAATTGTAAATAATATAAACAATTTGGTCATACAATATCTATTTGAAAAAATATTAAATAAGTGTTACACACATCATATTACTATAGTTGAAATTTAATTTATTTACTCTACACATCCTTTAAAATGTCAAAAATTAACCGTAACTATGTTTCGCCTTATTGTTATTATTGTTATTATTCTTCTTATTTGTAACATTCCGACCCATTATTAAGATACTGTGATTTTTCTTTTATGAAGTCTATGATTCGAACCAAGCGGGACATACTCATAAGAGAAAAATCACAATATTTTGATAGTGGACCGGAATGTTACATTATTATCGAACATAACTCTTTCTAGCTACACCCTTTAAAATAAGAACATTTGAAATCTATTTCATTACTTTTCTGAAGACACCAAGCAATGAATTTAGAAAATTCAACCATACACGAATATTCTCATCAAAGAAATTTCACTTGTAAAGTTTTAGACTTTCGCTCTTTAATTTCTCCACATCTATTTCTAGATAACTTCTTCCTCTTCTCTGGATAAAATTTCTATTTGGATTTTTTCCAAATTAGAATTTAAATCATTCTCACCATTTCTTCAAGTTATTATGTTTAATTTTAACAATTTTGATACTTATGGATTGGTTAAAATTAATGGAGCTTGCTCCAATTTCAATAAGCGAGATTTTACTATATAAGAGACAATGTTATTTAATAAGACAATACAATGTTTGATTATAATTTTTCATTATTAGGTAATACTATAGAGAGAATTGGGTCTAACTATATTGTATTACCCGACAAACAATATCTTAATTTTTTTCGAAAAGAAAAAGCAAAAATAAAGGGGTTTTAAAATAATTATTGATTAAAATATAAAATAATTTAAAATAGAAAAAGATTGTATGGTCTATAGATGATTGCACAAGGATTACCTGGTCATCTTCCTCAGAATTATTCTCTATATAATATTAAAGAGGACTCAATATAATATACTATTTATGACTGACCATTTTTAATTCTTAGACATTTTGCTTTAATTAAGAAAATATAAATAATCTAATATGATATGAATGATTCATTTATGGACTATTTTTATGACATAAAAGGCAATTAATTAATTCCATTTGAACACAAGTTGCTTACAAAAGTTAATATAACTTTTGTGCGTGAGCTCAAAATCACCATTTTATTTGTTTATACTATCGAAAAACAAAATTTAAAAATAAATAATAGTAAATTATTTATGGGTATTGTTATATGTGAAGCCTTATACGCTGTCGTTTTACTCTGTATTTCTGACCGTTGATTTTCAAATAATCTAACGGCTGAAAACTGAAGGCTGGCCAAACCTATAAAAGCTACAATCTCTCTCTCTTTCGAAGGATACTCTCTCTCTCAATCGAAAGCTTCCACAAAATTTCTTCTTTAGGGTTCAAGAATAGGGCTTCTGTGAGTGTGTGTAAATCAGTAGTTAATCTGTCCATTAAAGTTGTGTTTCTTTGTGGTGTTGAGAATTAGGTTTAGAGTTCTTTCTTTGGGTTGTAGATTTACAGGTACTGGATTGAAGTCTAAGTAATTTTTGTAAGTGAGTGCTGTAAGGGGAGATCGATTGGTTTATTGTAATCATTGGTGATACTAATATTCTAGAAACTCAATGTGAACGTAACTTGTTCA